CTTTCATACTTCCTGGAATGAGTGTCTCACTCCAAAAATAAAGTTTCTTGGGCCAGGGATTTAGCTCAGTGGTTCCGCCGCCTGCCTTGCAAGCAGAAGGACCCGAGTTTGATCCCCAGTACCAATAAATAGATAGATAAATAAATAAATAAATAAATAAAGTTTCTTCGTGGTTTGAAAGCAGCTTTTTATTGAAGCTAGATGTTTAAAGCACTGATGGGTAAATGACGAGGATAAGAGAGAGGAATTTTTTTTACTATTTATGCTGAACTATTTTGTGGAGCTTTTCTTTTAAAGGCAAAATTAAATGGGAGTAAAGAACAAATAGGAAAACAATTTATCTTTCATTAAGATTGCCGCTTGCTGTTCAAATACTGTCCTATAGCCATTACCAAGGCTTGGCTACCCTCTAGTGGCCACTGACCACAATTGCAGGCAAAATGCCTGAGTATGGGGGAGTAAATCAGGAAAGCTGAAGGCAAGAGGTAACAATGAGGATACATGGCATTGGTGTGTGTGCATGTTTGTGTATGTGTGTGTGAAAAGATGAGAGCTTCAGCATGGGCACTTCTACAGGATGAGTTTTCAGCCCACTGTTTTTCTGGTAAACCTTAACAGAGGTCCCAAGGAGCTCAGCAGGTAAGGGGCAGGTGTCCAGTCTAAGCCAAGCAGCTGCCGGTGAAGGGATGAAAGTAAAGCAAAGAACCCATATATGTCAACAGAGGGCTTGGGGCAGAGCTGGCCAACATGCTATCTGTGTCAGCCTCCAGTCACAGTGGCTACTCAGGATTTGAAATTGGGGTTAGAACAACTGAGAAGTTGAATTTTAGAGTTACTTGATTTAAATTAATTTGTATCTAGCCACATGAGGCAAGTGGTTGCCATATTGGACCGAGCAAGATTGAAAGAACCAAAAAGGAATATACTTCTCATCAGCCAGGTTTAATTAGTGGCAGGGAGTACAAAGTACTATACAACTAAGCACTGTTCTGTTTGTTTATTTTCTAAGCAAGAAACAAAAGAAAAGAAGCCAGAGTCCCTTGTTTCAAGAAGCTGACAATCAAATAGGGAAATACCGGATGGGTAGAGGACACTCTGCATGCCCACACCTGCAAACCATCTGTGGGAAAAGAATCCTTAATTCACAGAATGCAGTTTTACTTTGAGCAGCTCTCTTCAATAGGAGGCTTTAGTAATAATAGGGTTGGTACTATCAGAACTGCTCTACAGACAGGATCTTCAGAATTAAAGCAACATTGTTTTTTGAGTTATGAGACAAAGCAAGGTTGGTTTACCAGGTCTAAGAATGAGCAAGTGGAGGAGACCTAGTATAAAGTTCAAATTTCAAGGGAAGTAAGGTGGCCTGCAGACTTCAGGGTGGTAAAATTTTGTTGTTACTTCTGACAAGGTCTCCCTTTCATGTGAGACTGTGTTGGACAGAACAAATGGATTTTGAGTATGTTAGGTTAAGAGAGAGATTTGCAAAGCTACTCTCAGATCTAGGGCTGTTTTCCTTCTGCTTGGAATCACTGGTGAGGAAACAGAATATATAGGAGCAGAGACAGCCAAGTGACCAGGGACCCTAGATAGAAGGCACATCACTTCCTGGGGATAGGGATAGAGACCTTGAAAAGATGGGAAGGTGGGATGAGGGTAAACAGACCTGGGGAGAAATTTCTGATGTCTAATTTTTTTGTTTTAGTTTTTCCAGTTCTAAAATGAAATGTTAACATTAATAAGAATTTATATTTGGCCAGGAGTGGGGGCATGCACTTCTAATCTTAGCTACCCAGAAGGCTGAGGCAGAAGGATCACAAGTTTGAGGCCAGCCTGGGTAAGTTAGTCAGACCCTGTCTCAAAATAAAAATTTCTGAAGAGCTGAGGTACCCCAGTGGCACAGCACTTGCTTAGCATGTGCAAGGGTTCAATCCCCAGTTCTGCAAAATAGAATAAAATCCTGCAAATAATTTATTAGGGAAGGTGGCTCAAAGGTCAATATTATTGTTATTATTATTATTGTTATTATTATTTTGGTATGGGGATCAAACTCGGGACCTTGAGTTTGATCCCTGGTATATAATTTATATAAAATATAAAAAAATATATAAATATATTTATAATTATATATATATAACTTTTGAAAAGATTAACTATTAGTGTGGTCCTTCCCTTAAACTCTGTAGGATCTTCCTGAGAACCATCAAAGGATGGAAAACTGAGCAGAAGAGGGAGGAAGGAATGACTCCTCAATCCCAACAGCTGCTAGAAGCATCTATAGCTCCACTATAGGACAGTCCTGTGCCACATAATGATGTTTTGATCACCAACAGACACATCTACAACAGTATCTACCATCCAGCCTAGGCATGCAGCAGGCTGCACTATCCAGGCTGTGCACATTCACTCTGATGCTCCCAGTGACACGGCTGCCTAACGATGAATTTCTCAGAACTTATTCCCCTTACTAAGTGATGCATGGGTGTATTTATCAACTGGCATTTAGTTTTAGGGCAATACACACACAAACTGCTTTTCTTATTTTCAAGGCTTAGCTTCTAAGAAGCTAAACCTGCATCCCAGGAAAGGTACCAAAACTAATGGTTTAAACCCTAATTACCTATGCTCTTGGCTCTGAATGTGGCCTCAGGCAGTGACCTGTACAGAGCTGGCCATTTAAAAATCACCTGGGAAACTAGTTAAAAATAGAGATCCATGGGCTCACTGCCTGAGATTCTGATTCAGCAAATCTGAGAATCTATGAAAAATCAAAAAACAAAGCTTCCCAGGTGGCTGGGGCTTGAAAGCCAGATTTGGACCCACTGGTGAGTCATCATCCCCTGACGCTGCTTGGTGCAATCTACTGTTGCTATGGAAACCACTGGTGCACATCCCATCAGCCTGACTGAATTTTTTGGATTTCACTAACTTTTTTTTTTTTAATGGTACAAATCTGTTGCAAAAGTAAATGGCATTATTTTTGGAAGGGAAGTTTTTTTTTCTCTCCAAATATTTAGAGAGAAAAACCAAAGCTCCCACAAAGCAGAAAATTTTATCATCTGAAACCAAATTCAACAGAAAGCAGGCAGTCCTTGCTACTTCAGCCCAACTGGAAGGACTAATGAGCTATTATTTCCTGAGGTGAGTTTCAGACTTTGTAGCTTCCTCTGGGTTTTGGATGTTTTAAGGTGCCTGGCTGGAGAAGTCTTGGGCCCATGGGCTTCCCCTGGAGGGTAGGGGGCCAGGCAGTAAGTGTCCGGATGACATCAAGGCTCTGGAGGCTCCAGCTTGAGGCTGTTCTGGAAAAGGTCCACCCTGGCCAAGTGACAGGAGACTGAACTTCCCTCGAGCATGTGTGCTAAGCAGCCAGATGACCCATACTGCACCACCCAGACAAATATAACACATTTAAAGTCTCTGACTCAGCTGAGGAAGGAGCAGTACTCATCTTCCTTCAGGCTTCAGAGACAGCGAAAATAGGGTAGAGAGAAGGACAGAGAGCCAGTTTCTGTAGCCTTATGTTGTAAGGATGGCCCTATAAATTTGGACTGTAATGATCTATTTTTTTCTTTCCACTTAAAAATAAGAGCATACAATGGTTGCACTGGAAATGGAAGGTTCTTGGGATTCACGGCTTTTTGTAAATCCTGACAGATCTCCTCAGGATACCACAGTGGAATTTCCCTCCCAAAGATGCTCTCTAGGATCTGGCATTTTGCCAGCAGCTATTACAACAAGGCAGACGGGGTCTGCAGGCACCCGCTGTATTGAGCAGTGGACACTACTCTATGGTTCTCTATGGCAGAAGGAGCTGGTGCTTGTCTGAAACAGAATCATTCCCTTGTTGTCCTCCCCTGTCTTACAATCTCTGCCTGCAGCACTCCTTGACTTCAAGCAGAGGTGCTTTTGAGACAACCACTCAGCCCCATGTGAGGAGTCCTTCTAGAAATGCTCCCGCATGCATCCCTGATTCAATCCACAGGAACACAGCTTGGTCCCCTGAACCAACTGGCTCTCAGTACAATCTACTCAAAGCCCATGGAGCATCCAGACCTGTTATCAATCGTCATCTTCCAAACTCTTCCTCAGTGCTACCACTTCTGTCCCCAAGCCCTGGCATCACCAACCATGACTTAGCACTTGGCCAATAAGCCTGACCGCCCAATTACCCTGTCTTCCCAGTGTAACTTCCTCCACTCCCAGCTGACTGCAGACCACCACCCCACATCTGGATTCCTGGGAGGGGGTTGTCACTAGGGAATGCTAGGGCAATCTACTGAATTTATTGTAGAGGAAATGTTTGACCGGTTTAATTGTTCAGGCCTGAGGACATAAGGAGAAACTGACAATGGCAAAGAGAGTGTGATGTGAGAAGAAGCTAAGAACAAATACAAGAGAACTTCTGAAAAGAGCTGGATGGAAAAAAGAAGGAATCTTTGCCAAAATACTCCAAAGACCAACTGGTTTATTTCAAACCTCCTCCACTGCCCCTTTTATTGCTGTGCACACCATCCTCCTCCATGTTGGAACTGCTTAACTCACTCTGGGACCCTGGGTTCTTCTGGATCTGCTGAGCCACAAAAGTGTGCTGTCTATCCACTCACTCAGGTGACCTTTCCACTAGTTCCTTTTGAATTTAGGTGATTCTCCCAGTGCACTATGGGAAACTGCAGAGAGATGCTCTCTCCTCCCCCCACTTCCTTCTCTGTCTCTCAGGCCTCCACTCCAAGTAGCTTAGAAGGTTTTAGTCTGGGGCTCACAAGGCAGCTGCAGGGGCTATGTGGACCTTTTGGCGCACACATTTTGTGTGTGTGTGTGTGTGTGTGTGTGTGTGTGTGTGTGTGTGTGTAACAGAGGGAGAAGGAATGAATATGAATGTTCTGGAGCAAGATTCACCACTTTTTCCATCAGGTTTTCAAAGGGAGATAAGGAGCCACTGGCAGGGTGCCCTGAAGGAAAGGAGATACCCACACAGCCATGGAAGTCAGGGCCTGCCCCAGTACCTTGGAAGCTGCCATCACAGCCGCTGTGGCTGCCACGTTCAAGCCCCGCTTCCCAAAGTGCACAAGGGCATCATAACTCCGGTCTTTTGCTTGGACCAGGCAATCATCGATTTCCTGTCAAAGGAACAGCAGAGGCACACTGAGTTGGCAGGTTCAAATAAATCTATGTTCTCTTTCCCTTCTCCTGAGTGCTGCCCTTGGCAGCTGGCCTAATCTGATTCTCACTGGACTTGAAAAGTTATAGACACTTGTAGTATGTGTGTGTAGATAGGTGGGTGGAGAAAGACAGAAGAGATGTGAGGGGGAATGGAAAAAGGACTTTTGAAAAAACATCAATTTAATAACCCAGCAGTAAGGCCGGGGATTATTTCTAAAAGCCTCTAACTTCCATGGAGAGGGATAATCCTGCCATTCTATACACAGTCCCTCTGTAAGACACTGAAAGAACCTAGGGCTGAGAGAACTGCCAAGAATCACGCTTCTAGCCTCAGGCCTGCCACAAACTGGCCATCACACCTTGGCACTCTTGGCCCCTCTACACAGTTGTATCTTCCAGATAATGAGGACAGTGATGATACTAACTTGCAGCAGATGGTGAGGATTAACTGAGGTAAATCCAAGAAAGCACCTCACACAATGGCTTGTTTCAATTAATGATAACCACTGCCATTTTCCTTGTCTTCAAGGATTGGGACCCTTGCAGTCCTAAATTCAGTTATTCTATAGTTTTAATTTAATTCTGTAACCAAATATTTCCCTACATATATGTCAATGGGAGGGATTAGAATATAGAAAGAAATGGGTGTTTTATTGATAAAAGAGATCATTTTACAGATATTGAAATAAAATTAGAAGACATCCGGAATCATACAAGGTAAAAGTGAGGAAAAAAACAAGGTTGAGGTCTCCCTCTGGGGCCGAAACCAAGTACAATATTGGCTTAGTTCAACTTTGGATCATATCTGGTTTATTCTGTTTGCTTGGGGTTGTTTTGTTGTCATTTTGAGAAAGTGGCTGTTTCACAGTTACAGTAGCTCACTTCAGAGTCTAATGATGGAGGCATTCGGCCTCCAATTTGTCTGAAAGTCAGTTCACAGGTGCACTTCCTGTGCTTTGAGTGTGCGGGGTTCCCTGTGCAAGGCCTCTCAAGGAAATCGAGGCAGGAAGCCCTCTAATGGGACCCTCTGACTCGGGAAGTGATTCCTGGCAGCTCTCAAGAAGGATCATCTCCACTTCAATGGAAGCTACATCAAACGCTTCAGGGGAGGCCAGCACTGAGGACAAGGGACGAAAGAAGAGCAGGATTTGATAACTAGGTCAAAATAGATATCTATCCTCTAATTCCATCCTCTGAGGCAGAGAGAGTTGTGGGCCTGGTTCCTAAATGGACTTTCACAAATGTCTCCAACAGCCTGTTCTTCTGACTGCTTTGCTTACCAAAGCCTTCCCCTGGAGGAAGCCCAAAGCATTTAACTTTCAGAAACTATAGAAATTAATATACCAAGTCACCTATAGTGCTCCCTTTTTTTCTTTTTTCTTTTTGGTACCAGGAATCAAACTCAGTGCCTCATGCTTGCCAGGCAGGCATTTCACCACTGAGCTACATTCCCAGTCCAGCGCTCTCCTTTTATTTTGAAGAATTCTGCTATACAATCAGAGTGGAAAATAATGTAATTAATGAATAATAAATGTTGGAATCATTTGACACAATAATTACATTCTTGGAAATTTATTCTAAGATAATCAAAGGAAGAAACTTAACTCCATTCAGGGTGGTGTTCACTGCAGAACTGCCTACAACAGAAAAATATGTAGATAATCTAAATAGCATTGAGGCCACTATGGCCTTTACCTTAGGCCATTAGGAAGACCAAGTAGAAGGGACTGTGTCCAAACATCTTTAAGATCCCAAAATACAAATTTTTATTTATTATTTAGCCCTTGTGATTAATATTTGTTTTTGAGACAGGGCCTTACCATTTAGTTCAGTTCAGGCTGACTCTGAATTTACTTTGTAGCCCAGGCTGGCCTTGAACTCCTGACGATCCTCCTGCCTCACCCTCTTGAGTGCTGGGATTACAGGTATGCACCACCATGCCTGGCTATGTCAAGTTTTAAAATATTCTTTAAAAAAAGACCTAGGGTGGGGATTTAGCTCAGTGGTTCCAGCACCTGCCTCTCAAGCACAAGGACCTGAGTTTGATTCCCTGGTGCCAAAAAATTAAAAATTAAAAAAGACCCTACATAGCCAGGCTTCGTGGCACATGTCTGTAATTCCAGCAGTCACAGCCGGGAGGAGGATCATGAGTTCTGGGCCAGCCTAGGCTACATAGTCAGTTCAAGGCCAGCCTGGCTGCACAATGAAACCCCGTCTCCAAAAAGAAAATCATTCACATAATACACATTAAAAAGATTCTATGTAAAAATTTAAATGATCTATATAAAAATCATCACTACAAAAGGACAGGGACTAAGGATCATAAAAGGAAGGAAATTCAGTTTGGGAAATTAAATTGTGAGTGAATTTTTTCTTTTGTTTCAATTATATAATATTTTACAATAAATAATAATAAACATATTTTAGACCATTTTTATTTCTAAAAAATACACTATGTCCAAAAAAATAGTTAAAATTGGCTGAGGGCCAGGCATGATGGCACATGACTGTAATCCCAGGTCTTGGGAAGGCTGACAGGAGGATTGCAAATTCAAGTTAGTGAGACTTTGTCTAAAATAAAAAAAGGACTGGGGATGTAGCTCAGCACTCCTTGGGTTCAATCCTCAGGGCTACAAAAACAAAGCTGGGGATATATTTCAGTAACAGAGCATGCCTATAGCATGTGTGCGGCCCAGAAAAAAAAAAGAAAGAAAGAAAAAAACAAAAAATTAGAAGCAACAACTTGTTGAGATAATAAAAGCCAATCAAAGGTCTCCTGTGATACAATAATCTTTTTATTTATCACTTTTTTATCTTTTACTTGCTGTGAGTAATGAAAGGCAAAGCAACATAAATTACCTTTTCTTTTGAAGACAGCGTGGGATGTACAAACTTCCTGTACAGGAGGCTGGAGCCTTTTGTGTAGGGAGATAGCAGCCAGGCTACAAACGCTATTTTTAGTTCATAATAGAATGGAAACCTGGAGAGATAAGAAAATACATGTCCCATTAGCTTCTTAGCAACACTGCCCTGGATCCATGAAGGACAAGACGTGGGCATGGTGTGGACACCTCTCCTGCTCACACCCCACTGTAGGGCTCCTAGCTTCCTCCTCTGTCCAGCAGGGGAAGGTGTGCATGCATACAGGTGCACACACAGGCACACACACAGTACAACCATGGCCTCTTCCTGAAAGCTGGCTTGAGTTTTCTTCTGTTGCCCAAGCAGCCAGGAATGGAGGCTCACTCCATCCATCACCCTGTGGCCCTGGCAGCAGGCTGGCATATGGCTCCAGCTGCAGCCTGCAGGCTTAGAAGACTAGGTTCATGCCCAACACCCCACTGTTCAGCCCTTCCCTGTGGTCAGAAGCACAAACACTCTGAGGAGTCACACAGGGCAGGTCAGACATCTCTAGGCTGAGAGTAAAAGCTACCCTTTCTTGGCTGTCTTTTCGGCACACATAGAATAGAGACATAAGACCAACTTTTGGCCAAAAGGAAAATGGTCTTCACCCTACACAAGTCAATGCCAGGCAAATACATCTTGACCTTTTTGCTGCCAAAAGAAAGAAGAGCTTGGGATGCAGGTAACATCCGATTCTGAAGTCCTGTGCACACCTGAGCCCATTGATTTGTCTGTGCCACAAACATTCATCCAGCACCTCTATGTGCCAGCTTGTGCTGGGCGCTGGGCAGATAACAGTGGGCCAGGAAGACTTGCTCCTCCTCCTCCTTGGAGTTTCCAGAAACAGACAAGATTCTGACATCCCTGAACCTAGGAGTCCAGCCAGAGAAACAGAGATTGATACAATAATCACACCCAACTAGAACAGCGACCTGAGGACAGTACCGTAGTACCCCTCTACCGGCGCACAGAGTGTCTTTGTGAGTACTTGAAAGTCAGCCCCTCCAACTAAATGCTGTTCTATGGGCACAAAGCTTGGCAAGCAGAGCTAGTTCTGGATTCCAACCCCACTCACCTCCTCAGCCAGATGAGCCAATTCTTACAGATATCAAAGAGCTCACCTGCAAGCCCAGGCTTCCCACACAAACCTACCAGTCCCGAGCTGACACTCCAGCCACCTTCTCTACTGGGATCTCACACCCCAGGCCACCATCCACTTGCTCCAGTCACCCTGGCCAGACCACAGACAGTCCTATATCACAGAGCCCTCAAAATTACTGTAACCAGCGAACTCCAAGCCGGCTTACCCTGCCTTGCCCATTCCTTCCTGTGGAAATCACAATAAAGCCTTTGGCCCATTTCTTTCCTCTGCCTCCTGACCTGCCCTGGGGCTTTCCTGAGGCCTTGCATGCTGTGGCAGCTGCTTCTGGTTTCTAGGAATCTGAAAATATGACAAATCTCTCTCTCTCTCTCTCTCTCTCTCTCTCTCTCTCTTTCTTTCTTTCAGTCTCACTATGTAGCTCAGGCTGGCTCTGAACTCACTATGTAGCCCAGGCTGGCCTTGAACTTGCAGTGATCCTCCTGCCTCAGCCTCCCAAGAATTGGAATTACAGGCATCAGTCACCACATCTGCCTTAATTTCTTCCTTCTTGATAGGCATTTCCATGACTGCAATCCTTTCCACACCTGATTCAAACAAATCCCGGTCATCCTTAAAACACAATGCTTCGAGGGAAAAGGTCACCTGTGCATGTCTGAGAAATCAGAAAAGTTAATCTTCCCCAGATAAGGAGCCAGAAATGAAAAGGAACAATTTCTAGCAAGTCAATTCCAGACCCTTTAATGCTTACACAGACCCTTGAATCAGCAGCTCTGCCCACTCCCCCTTTCCTCAGGAAGGTCTCAGCCCCTCAGCTTTCTGCCTCTGGCTGATTTGTCCTGAACAGTCCTTCAGCAACCAGGGGCACTTTCAGTGGCAAGACTGTTTAGTGTTTCACAGGCAGAAAAGAGAGGGGCTGAAAGAACGGAGGCATGATTCTCTCATAGGGAAACACTCTGGTGATTAACAATGGAGGAACTTTTGGTTTGAAAACAAGTATTTGCCAGTCCTGAGGGGAAAGCAAATGAATCTGGCAAGTTCAGAAACCAGCACAAGATACACCGACAATCCCAAGGGCATCTGTCACATTGCAGCTCTTTTATTTATTATGTAAAAGATGTATTTTTTTTAAAAAAAGGTCATACATGCACATAGTTTTAAAAAATGCATACATACAGCAGTCTCTTTCCCACCCCCGACCTTTGGTCCCTTTTCTAAAAGCATAAACATTATCAGTTGCTGGTGCACCCTTCCAGAATGGACTGGAGCCAGGCACATACAATCATCTAGATGCTTACAACTCCCTCAACTGCCCTCCAGAGACAGCTGCATTTGATACACCCCCTTCTATCCCTTGCTTCCCCCCAACACACACAATCCACAGTGTGCTTTGGGGACTGTCTCACACCAGCACACAGAGAGCTGCCACTTCTCTTAATGGCTGCAAGTGGGTGTGCAGGCATCTCCCCACAGCCGTGAATATTCATGAAGGTGACAATCTTTGGCAACTAAGCTGAGCTGCAAATGAACCTCCTAGTGTGTTTCTCTACACATGTGTCCAAGTGCATCTGCAGAATAAATGCCCCAGGAGTAGAATTTCTGTGTGCACTTTAACTATGGACAGAGGTGGCGCCACCATGCAAACATGAATAAGAGACCCTGATTCCTCGGTGTACACCACTGTAAGAGCCTCTGCCCCAGGCTGTGCGATGCACTTGCATATTCATCCTGAGTGATCCTTCAGATCACCCAGCCCCCCTCTCCTTCTCTCTGACCAGTCTGCTGCAGACCATCCTGTTCCCCGAGTTCCTTTCAGTGTATCCTATCCAGGCTGACCGGAAAACCTTCCTGCCTGCCGATCTTCTGGGTTATTTCTCCAGCCATATCTTATCAGATGCACTGAGCAGCTCCAGTGACAAACTCAAGAGGGCAGACTTTGTTTGGAGTGACCAGCAGACCTGCCCATTGGGTGCCAACCCCAAGAAGCTCTAGACTGGATGAGAGAGTGCTGCTCCCTTTTTCCACGTTCACCCTGGACCATGGAGCTCACACTGAAGCCATTTTGGGAGAGGGATGTCAACTGGCTATAGAAGAATCAGAAAAAAATCGATTTGTTCCTTGGTGGTGTGATGGTTGATTGATTGTGACAACTTGAGAAACTGGTTAAGAGAAGCTTAACTAAATTGGCTCAGCAATTCCTCACCCTACGGTGTGGCGGAGCCTTCCACCTCGGCTGGATGGTGTAAAATAGAAAGACGGATCTGCTTCTGTTCCTTCTGAGCAGCTCCAGTCTTCACCTTCGCCTTGGATGTCATTTCCTGGCTTCCAGCACAGACTCTTCGGCTTCCAGCGCAAATCCTTCAGACTTCCAGAGTAGACTCTTCAGCCTTCCATCACAGACCCACCGACCACCTGATATGTACTCGCACAGGATGCTGCAGTGAGCTCCAGACCTTTGACCAAATCTTTGGTGTATCCAGTGTGCAGACTCTCTGGATTCTTTCTCATCCAACTCTGTGGTTGGTCATTTTAAGCCAATCTTGTAAATCCATATATATATGTATATCTTGTGTTATATCTGTTTCTCTAGTAAATACTGACTGATACAAGTGGAAAGATAGCACAAATATCCAAGAGCATTAACAAAAAAACCATCAGAGCCTGCTAATTCCCCACCTTTCCAGAACTTTAGTTTGGGAGGGAGGACATGCACAAGGCACCTGAGAAACAAGAACGCCACCGCTCAGTCACCAGCATGGAAGAAGAGAGGACAAGAAGAGATGGGGACAGGAGGAAGGATGAGGTGCAGGAAGAGAGATGGATGCGTTCCAGCACCCGCACCTCACTGCCACTGGAAATTCTCTACCCAGTGCTGCCAAGAGGTGCAGCTCTGGGTGCCCTGTGCCTGTGGAGAACCAGCACACAGTAGGTTCTATAAACGTCTGTGTACAAGATATCTCTAGGTCCACACTCTCTGAAAGCTTCCCCCGCCTCCTTCTTCCCTCCTAGATACAAATGGGCAGGCCTTGCTGACCCTGTTTACCCTATGTGGTCTCTAGATCACAGCTAAGTACTAAGTACTACCAAGGAAGTACCAAGTAGTAAGGACTAAGTAATTTTTAGATTACAAATTTGGAACTGGGAAGCCTACAACTTCAGCATAAACAGTATTGAGGGGTCAACTGGCAGTGAGCAGAAGCAGGGTCCTTAAGCTTCAGTGAGAGGGGCCCCTGAAGTGCCCTGCTCCTCCTCTTCCAGAGTTTAATGTTTTAGCTTTTCTTTTCACTCTGCGAGTTACTCCAACTATCTCCCAACAAAGCCCTACTGCTTTCCCTTCTTTTCCTTAAGTTAGTCAGAGGTAGTGTCTGTTGTTTGCTAGAAAGGATCCAGGAGCCCCAATAACCCATGACCCACAGGCCAAACCCAGCAAGTTACTTATTTTTATAAATAAAGTTTTATTAGAACACTGCCACACCCACTTACTTATGTATTATCTGTGGCGGTTTTCATGCTGCAATAGCAGACTAGCTGCAACAAAGATTTATGGTCCTGAGAGCTCAAAGTAGTTAATATTTGGGTCTTGACACAAAGTACACTGATGCTTGGGTTAAGGCTGTTTCCTCCACTTAAAGTCCCCAAATCTCTCATTGAAGTGTATGGTGGGGGAGGGAAAGTCCTGTGTCTAAGAAGACCAGGCTCTTGCCAGGGGTTCTAAGATCCTCTAAGGTGAGCCACTCAGATTCGTGTTTTCTAGAGTTCTTGGGGTCCCTTGCCTTTGCCAACACAGTCACCACCAATGAAGTCTGTTTCCAGCCCACCTAACCATCCCAGCCTTCACCTAAGAGGTGAAGAAGGGCCCTACTCATTCCACAGTAAGACCCCCTTGAAGAACCATGACCTCTAGGAATATGGAAAAAGCCCCAGGAACCCCACATTTCCTCCATAGTTTCCCAGGCACATGCACAGCACTGAGGGACACAGGGAAGTTGTGTGTCCCCACCCTGACAATATAACACCTCAACATTCTGGAGGGGTACTTGTCTTTTAGGAGAATTGGTCACAGGATGAAATTGTCCACAGTACATACAAGTAATGTGTACAGAACATTTCTAGAAGAAAACACAAGTAACTTTTCATAGTGGTACCTCTAGCAATGGGAAGGGAATTATGGGTCTGGGGGAAAGGATTATTTTTAGTGGTGCTAGGGATCGAGCCCAGGTCCTCACAAAACATACATTCTACCACTGAGCTACCCCAGCCCCTAGACTTACTGTTAGTATATTGTTTCACTTGTATTTTGCAGGCACATGTATTATTTTATAATTTTTTAAATGTCATTTAAATAAAATCACCTTCCTAAATTACAAAACAAGTCACAATCCTATCTATCCTATGGCCACATTTAATCAGCATTTCCATCAGGGTAGAATGTTTTTAAAAATAAACCGTGAAGAGGGAACTATCTTACAGAAAGGGTGAAAAGTAGGGAACAGGGATGAATAAACAGGGCTGAAGCAGGGAGGGAAGGTTCCTCAAGAGACCCCTTCCCCACAGACAAGGCTGAGCTCAGGCCTGCAGGAGAAAGGCAAAGAGCACTTACTTCCCCCTAAAAACTCCTCACCACCTCTGGCTAAAGTGAGAAAGCTGTGAGGCATGCATGTGAGGGGTCAGGAAGACTGGGGGATTCGACCCATACTTGAAGAACAATGTTTACAGACCAATTTATGAGAAATATTTCAAAGGACATCCTTGTGCTTGCACCTCCAGCCTGAGGTAGGGTGTGAGGCTTCAGCCCTTCCCCTTCTCTCCCCTCACACTAGGCCAAATCATCCTGTAAATGGCCCAATTCCTGGAGTACTTACCAGCAAAGGAAGATGTCTGTGAATGTCTCTGCTGTGGTGAAAAGTGCAAATATAATCCAGTACATCATCCATTTGACCTGTTGAAGGAGAAAGCACAGAGCTAGTGGAAAAAGTCAAGGACAACAGGCTGCTGGAAATCAAGTGAAACAGGCCCAGGCAGCAGATGCCGAAGCAGGTCCAGGTAATGCCACCCACATGTGTAACTCTCTGTACTCTTTCCCACACCTTGAGGATGACAGCAAATGGGCTGTTCCACAAATGATCGGGATAAAGTCAAATCAGACCCTGGATGGCCTTTCACAGCCCTCATGTGAGCAAGGGAGACCTGCAGACCAAGAGTGACACAAGATTGAGGCAGGTCATTTTTCCACGATTAACATCAGATGAGTAAATGCTCCATGCTTCCACGGAGACACACCTTGGGATGACCTTTCACCAGGCCAGACTCAGGGATGGAATGGCAGTCTTCTTCACAGTCACAAATCATTTCTTGTGGGAAGTCCCCAGGGCTACTGGGAGGAGCTAAATCTTTCTTTAAATTTCTCCTATATGACCCTCCTCTTCCATTCCATTGCCTCTCTCTTCTATGTGCCATCTCTCTTGAGCTACTGCAATGATCTCCTCATTGCTTCCTGTGTCTCCTGGTTTTTCCCTCACCAACCTATCCTATAGCTCAGTGATGACGGACCTTTAGAGTTTTCAATGATACAAACAAGCTGCTGCAGCACATGTTCTATAGGTTCACCACCACTGCTATAGGTCATCCCCATTCCACCCTCCCTAAAGTATGAACTCATTAGAGTACTATTTCTCCATTTAAAATCTTCCAACATGTAGAATAAAGTCCAAATTTCTTAGTGTGTTCCTTCCACTTCCAGTAATAGTGGAATAGCTTGTTTTGGGGTAAAAGTCTCAATAAAATATTTCAAAACAACTGTTTGAAAGGCATTAGAGAGCAATGAAAAGCAGGCAGAGACCTGAAGGGATTTAACCCTTATTTGCCTAGAAAACTGGAAAATGAATTTTGACACTTTCAGAGTTGCTAGAAGTTGAGAGGGAAAAAGTCCTAAAAAGAAGGAAACTTAACAGAGCAGGACACATCACCATCTCCTGTCTACATCAGAACTATAGCCTCATCTTGGTCTCTAGATCTCTGTCCCCTTCTTAATTTGTCCTTCTTATTCCAGTCAAAATGATCTTAATTTCAAATGCAATGACCCTCTTTCCTAGCTTAATGGCTTCAATACTTCCCTGTTAAGATAAAACCTAAATTCCCTAAATTGGCTTTCAAAGCCTTGTATGAACCAACCTTTAATTATCTCCATCAAAGTGGCCTCCACATAACTACCTCTCTCCCCTTTTCTACCCCAGCCATAATGAACCACTTTCAATTTCCTGAACAATCTTCTTTTGCCTCCAGATTTCAGCCCTCGAGTCTCAGTCTAAATCAACATCACTTCCTCAGGAAGTACCCAAAGCTCAGGTAAATAATGTCTCCTTCACAGGTTCAGACATTTGGTGTATGTGCTTGGCTGAGGAGCCAATGGGGCGAAGCTACCATCTGTGGGATTATGACTGAACGCCTCTAAGTCAGAATCCCGCCCAGGCGGAACGATATGGCAGCGCCAAAGGAGCCTCGGTTGGCCTCGGATAGCCGGTCCCCAGCTCGTCCCCCGGGGCGTGCGCGCGTCCCCGCCACGCGTCCGGACCAGGGTCCGGTGTGGAGACCCCTTCCTCCCGGGGAAAGGGGCGCGGCAGGAAAGGGGGCCGCCCTCTCCCCCCGTCGCGAATCGCACGTTCGTGGGGAACCTGGCGCTAAACCTTTCGTAGACAACCTGCTTCAGGTCGGGGTTTCGTAAGCATCAGAGCAGCTCCCTCTCTGCGATCAATTGAAAGTCAGCCCTTGACACAAGGGTTTGTAAAAAAAAAAAGATAAGAAATAATGTCTCCTTTTCTTCCTCTTGTGATGTTAACACATGGTCCCTGCCCTAACACCTACCACACTGCTGTAAATGTACCTGTTTATTCTTTTGCTTTTCCTACTAGATCATAAGCTCCTTAAGGGTGGAGACCAGTCTTTTTTTTTTTTTTGGTCAAGAATCAATATTTTATTGGTTAATTTTTTAATCTGCAAAGTATTATGTGAGTTTTATATGGTAACAATTTGAAGTCTACATTATGCTAAACATCAAACACCTGTTAGCTGAAGAGATTCAAACATTTTAATACACAAGATATTTAGACTACAGTTCCTTGGTTGTCAAAAACAGTGATTACTGGTGCCAAATAATGAAAATATTGTACCAAATCATCTCAGCAAAATGGGAATACTGAGTATCTACCAATTATTGTTATCTTACAGTATTATAGAAATTAAAAGTCAGAAGTTAGATATTTATGTTATCTACAGTACAGTACATATTTAAGGATGGCTTTGTTTAGAAGACTTGAAAAATCCTCTTGAAATAAACACTATACTCTCAATGTTATAGGTCAATAAAACACAACTGTATCTGGTGGACACAGCAGAGAAATGGCAATTTTGACAAAGGAGTGCTTCCAAAGGCATTTCCTTTAGAGGTGGCTAAGGTTTTTCCACATTACTGAAAAACTAAGTAATGTGGTATAGCTATCTTCACCAAACTTCCACTTGGGCACATTATGGTACATGTTCCCAAACTACTGTTCTTTCTGTCCACCATGCTGACTCCAATATTCCATGATCCACTGTAATCTTTTGGTCTTCCCTCTTGCAGTGTGGAAGCCTGTGCTGCTATCCATTGAGGAGGCAGACCACTAATTCATAGGTGGCCATCATAATGGCTGTGTTTGGAATCTGTCTCACCAAATGAGTTGTTAGACCACGGTAGAGGGATCTGTAACTTTCTTCTTGAACCACCAAAGACAGTGTCTGAAAAAAGGATCTATATTTTGTTCCTTCTTCACGTAGTCTTGTTCTTACAACTTCATGTGGATATGCTATAGTTGTGGCACAAGTTATTGAGGTGGCAGCAGCAAGCATCTTTTCCACAAAATCTGATGCTTCTTTTATAGACTCTTCACCGTTTTCTATCATAGAAGCAGTCTTACATTCCAGTAGTTTTTGCTTTATATTTTCATAAATAACAAAATAGATAACAGTCTCTGATATGCCAGCATAGGAAGCAGACATGCCCCTGTAAAATCCTTTCAGTCCATCTGTTTGATACACTTTACAGATACATTCAAAAGCACCCATTTGCTTTTCCCCACGGTTCCTTGCATCAAGCTGTAACCGAGTCTTTATAAGCCAAATGGGGTTGGTTGCAGTGATTGCAGTAAAACCTTTCACTTTTTGCACTCTAGCCAGTAATACTGTACATCCATATTTATGGAGTATTTTGTATTTAATCTTTTATATTCTTAATGAGTCTGTACTGGACCATTCAGTTTCAGCAACATATATTAAAAAACTGCAAAGCTAAATGTTAATGCTCATGAACAGTGCAAGGAAGCTCTGAAAGCACAATTCTCAGAACAATAGAACTGCCACTGCAGCCGAAATCATGTGAACCTGGGTAGAATCAGGATCAAATACACCATTCAATTTCTCCTTGCAGTTGGAGTAAGCAGCAAAGTATATTGCTCTGGAAGGGGCCACCCCCACTATATTGGGGCCTAATCCTCTAAACAAGGAACAAGGCCCTTCTTTTTCCAAGATTACTTTTAGGCAATGGAGGGGTCCAGGAGACACCACTTGGTTAACACTGGCTCCAGCCATGGTGTTCAGCTGAACTTCCGAGATACAAAGTGTCACAGAAGACGACTGCAGCCGTGTTTTCACAACTTCCAGTGGACATGCCAGAACAGCTCCCACTGTGCCACCACATGCCCCGGCAAACAGATGCACCAGCGTGTCCCTCTGGCTCATTCTCTCTCCAGCGTGCCCTCCGGGTGCTGAGGGGGGATGCGGCTGGGGCTGCCCACTACTGCGGGCGGCTTCGGTCCCGGAAGGAGACGTACAACGCCCCAGTATGGTGAGGGGGATGGCAGAGACGCGGCTGCAGAGGGCAACCCACGCAGCCCTACCCGCGTGCTGCCGCCCACTCAAGCTCCGAGACCAGTCTTCTTACACATCATTATATCTCTAGGACCCAGAACAGTTCCTAGCACACGGTAAGTACTGAGTGAACATGCTTAGAATGACTGCATTAGAATGCGGGCATTATGATTGGGAAAGAAAAGATGGTTCCAAAACGGTTGAGAAGGGATACATTTTTGAAACTACTGTTCAGATGGGTTTTGAGAAGAAAAGACAGCATTAGATAGCTGGGGAAGCAACCGATGCTCCCAAGTACCCACTGAGTGGAAGGTTGCACAGATAGGGGAAGAAAGGCTCCTGCTGAAGGCAGAGCATGAGTGACTGGTGACTATGGAGCTACTCATAGAAAAAAGAAAGAGGCAATTTAGGCTCCCCATGAGGGCAGCATAAGAGCCAAAGGGATCATCCAAAGAATGCCCAAGATCCCTGGAAAGGCTCAGGAGAGAGGTAGGGGCTACAGACAGATGAAGGAGTCCTGGCAGAGATGGAGTTTGAAGCATTTGGGCTAAAGATATTTCCATCATGTATCCCTTCCCTTTAAAATACTTTCCTCCTAAAAAAAAGGGGGGGGGGTCTGAGGATGACTCATGGAGCCTAAGAAGGCAAATGGAATACTGGTGACTTGGAGAGGGAAACCATATTCATCTAAAATTACCAGGAAATGTTTTTCACCAGCAGGCCTTATAGAAACCAAATGACAGCTATTTTTACCAAGGTTTGAAATAGAACATCCAAGTTTGAGAAATTCTATTCAAACTGCAGGATGAGGAGGGACGAGCCTGGTGCTTTCCATGAGAATTAAGAGAGGGAAAGAGGCATTATGGCTGATTTGTTAGGTCATGTCCAGCAACAGCTATGGAATGGAAAGTTGCCTGCAGCCTGGGAAGTCCCTCTGGCCTGGTCAGGGGCAGGATCCAGCAGTGAGGAGATGGGAGAAGCTGCGATCCTTGGCCACAGCAGCAGTCTTCTGAGCTTAGGGTGGGAAGTAAACCTGGAGACCCTCCATGGACCTCAATGGCTGCTGGACTCCTCAGTCCATTAGACCTTGCTCCGGGGGCTCCTGGCAGCCAGTGAAAGGCCCCCACTATGAGCTGTGGATGTAGCAGTCTGAGCCACCCTGCAGCCTCACTATCCTCTTGTTCCCTCCTCTAACCAGGCACACTAATATTCCTCAAGCCTTTCACACTCCTCATGCATCTGGCCCTGCTTCAGACTCACAGGGACTTCCCTGTTCCAAATGACTGAGGAAGACAAACTCTGAGCCTGGTTCACAGATAACTGCATGGACTGCTGGCAAAAGCGCACAGTGGACAGCTGGTAATACGGTTGGGGTCGCCCTTAGAGAGTGAGGAGGAGAAGCAGGCAGACTCTAAGCAGTGTGCTTAGCCTAGGAGGAGAAATGCTCTCAGGTAACACATTTACACTGTCACCAGGTATATTAGCTACATTTGCTTATTTTCTGTATTCTTGATGCCCTGGCATCTGAAGCCTCACTGACGGGGACTTACACCCTTCCCAGGGCTGGCCAGGAGATGGCAAGATTTCCCCTAGCCCTGCAGGAGCAGCCCATTCATATGCAAACTAGCCAGTCCTGAGACTTTAACTCCTCCTTTGTGGGGCTCTCCTGGTTGAGCCAAAGTTTTTCCCCCACCATAATCAACTCAGCCAAGTCCCAGACAACTAGAGGCAACCAGCGGCTAGAGGAGTCCAGAGCCTGCTGAAATTATCCAATGAGCCAATCCCAAACCTGCCTGCCTGCTGTTTCTTTACCTTTCCCACAAAAGCCACAACACAGGCTGTTGCCCACAACCCTCAGCCCCATACTCTGCCTTCTGGCTGGCTCTGGTATTCCCCATGTGGCCCTACTTCTAGGGAACTGTGGGTACAGACATCTTCCTTCATGTCATTTTCATGTCTGTGCCTTACCACTCCTGAGTAAAACAAACCCCAGGTACATTTAAAAACACCAGGCAAAGAGGTTCACACAAGGGATGGGTCTGAGCCTGGTATGGAGATGGTCTGGGAATAATGCCAGTGGGCTCAGAGAATGAAGCTATTTGTGGTCCATGTTCATGCTTGCCAAAAGGTCTCACAACAGAGGAGGCTCACAGTAACCAGGCGGATGAGACACCCAGGCCTGTGGATGTCAGCCAGCCTTTCTTCAGACTTAACAGCTTGTGTTTAATTGGCTCATGCACCAAGTGGCCACATGGAAGTGGCAGAGACAGCATAATGGCTCGGCAAGGTGGAATCCCTCTTACCAATGCTGACCTGGCCCTGACCACTGCTCAGAGACCAACCTGCCAGCAGCAATGACCAGCCCTATCTATGACATACCAGAACTCAAGGTAGCAGCCAGCTTCCTGACAGAGGTCTGTGACACCAGGCCCCTTCTCTAACAGAAGGCTCTTCTCTGGAATATTCATTGTTCTGCATATGGACTTGCTTTTTCCCACTCCCTGGATTCTCAGGGCCACAGAGCAAGCTGGGGACTGGGGATTGCTGTTCCATTTTGATACATCTCACACAACACTGCTTCTCACCAAGGACCCTCCATTATAGCAAAAGAAATAAGACAACAGGCTGATGCTTTTGGGAGTCACTCATTTATACACCACATTGCTTTATATAATGCTGCCCAGGCTTGAGGGGTCAGGAAGAGAACCAGGTAGATGCAGTTTCTTCTTTGAGTTAGTGACCACAATATGGCACTGCTTCTTAGAATCTAAGGTACAAGAATGAAGAAAATTAAGGCCAATGCCAGCTCCTTGCAACTCAAAATACAGTCTACGGACCTGTTCCATGGATATCACTTGGGAACATGTCAGAAATGCAGAATTTCCAGTCCCATCCCAGATTTACTGGATCAGAATCAGTATTTTAATGAGATCCCATTAATATGCATGTTACTGTTTGAGAATCACTGATCTAACACACAACATTCCTCCTTCTTATTCCCAAATCTCTGATCTCTACTTTTTAATGATTTTTAGAACCTTACTGATAGATGTTTCTACCAGAGGATACACAATGTTTCAACAAAATGAAAGCAGAGACTTTACTGTCACATGGGCATGACTAGGGCACAGACAATAAAGGGACTTATGTGTTTTGATGGGGTAAATGACCCTAATTATGAAGGGGAATTGAGGTTACTGATACACAAGGCAGCAAGGAGGGCAAATGGAAATTGCGGGTTACCTGGGGGGCTTCTAGCACTGTTGTGTACTGAGGTAGAAGTCAATGGATCAGTACTACAACCCTACAGAGGCAAGATTGCCAAGGCCTCAGATTCTTTTTTTTTTTTGGTACCGGGGATTGAACTCAGGTCCTTGCGCTTGCACAGCAAGCGGTGAAACCACTGAGCTAAATCCCCGGCCCTTAAAGTAGAGCTCTTTTTTTTTTTTGTACCAGGGATCCAACTCAGAACCTTGCACTTGCAAGGCAGGCACCAGAACCACTGAGCTAAATCCCCAGCCCTCCTCGGATTCTTAAGAATCAAGATTTGGACCACATCACTGAATAAGGTACCCACTCACTAAAGCTCTATCTGAAAACAAAGGGAGCATGGATTGGGTAATAAAAGAGGGAAGTATCAGGAAACCTTGAAAAAGAACACACATCTATGGAATTCTAGGTGTCTAGCACATACTTCTGAGAAGGGGTCTTGCAGTGTAGCTCAGGCTGGCCTTGAATTCACTATGTAGTCGAGGGTGGCCTTGAACTTGTGGCAATTCTCCTGCCTAAGCCTCCCCAGGGCTGGATTACAGGCGTGTACCACCATGCCTCTGCTCAATGTCTTTGAGCTATTTTACAACGTTCGAAGTTTTAGAAAACTGATTGCAATGAAAATGATTTTGTCCATAGGGGTGCAGTGAGTTTTCTCCAGTGAAGGCATAACTGAACTCCCCATTTCACCAAGAAACCAATTAACAAATCAATTTCAAGATTCTAGATTATGTCTGTTGTTTGCAGTCTCCTTTGAATTATTCTTTTAACTCTTCCTGGTTCCCTTGTTAATTACTGAGTTCAGTAAAATCTTCAACATACATTTTTTTACTTATATAAAAGTTATGATTTATCCTGTTTAAGAAATTATCTTAACAAAAGATAGAAGTACTGCTATGAACTCATAGCTCCATGGATATAGACTGTAGCTTCTATTCATATTTTCTTCCTTCTGTGCTATGTAAAATTAAGTATTTTAAGTACAGTGGACCCTTGAGTTACAACCATCCTGATATACGAACAACTTGGGTTATGATTGCATTTTAGTTTTAACTTACAACCAAAGTCTTGAGTTATGACCCGAATGCTGGCCACTTGTGCTTCCAGATGGTCTCAGATACAGATTTTTTTTTATACCGGGGATAGAACTCGGGACCTTGCACTTGAGAGGCAGGTGGCAGCACTACTGAGCTATCCCCAGCCCTGGATACAGATTTAACCCTTAAAGAGTTCTGGAAGGAACATTACAACATTCCTTCCTGAGTAGGGTTAACTGAGAATTGCTGTGCCAGTGTCTCTCTAAGGACACTGAGATCTGCCTGTGTACAGGAGAGAGACTTTGAAGGCCATGTAGAGGAGTGTGAGCCTTCATTGACCAACTTGAGTTACAACCAGCCCTTGTGAAAGAATTGAATTAGCAAGTCAAGGGTCCACTGTAATTATATCTTAATGTATTCTCTTTGCTTCCTGATACAGCACGGAGGCTAGCAAGGCTGAATGCTGGACACTGAGCCAGGGACCCATCACAACCAGAGGAGGAGAGGACTCTGCCCAGAGATGCTGGACCTGGCTCTAGGCTCAGTAACTACAGATATCTGGATTTAACAAGTGAGTGAGTCCTATAGAATTCTTGATGGAAGATTGTTTTTTTTTTTTTAAACCAAAATATAGGTAAAGGATTCAAATGGTACATATAGGTTTTAGGCAGCCAAAGAGTTAACTGTAACTGCTGTTTGTTTGTTTGTTTGTTTGTTTTTCCCTTCATTACCCAGGATCCAAAGCCTTCTAGATCAAGGGAACTTCCCAGCACTGAGGGTCTTTGTAGGAGGCAAAACCCATTATCTGGGTTTGGAAGAATCAGGTGCTCCTATCCAGATCTGAATCTTTAGGGAATGTTCCAAAGGTAAGGGCAGGTGGTAGCCAGTGTCCCTGATGGCCTAACCAGATCCTTCCTGAGGCTTGAGTCTGGCTGTTACCACCACTCGGCCTTCTTGGGTCTTCTCCAATTTCTAAATGTCCTTTTCCAGCCCTGTAATTAATTCTACAATTCCCCATAAATTCCTTTCTGTCTAAGTTTTCATCCCAAAACCTTGACAAATGCAACAACTTTGGAAAGATATAAGAATCTTAAGACTTGGGCCAGGGATTTAGCTCAGTGGCACCACACCTGTCTCGCAAGTGCAAGGTCCTGAGTTTGATCGCCAGTACTGGGGAAAAAAAAATCTTAAGACTAATATTAAGAGTGATTTTTTTTTGTTGTTTTTTTGTGGTTTTTTTTTTTTTTTTTCTGGTACCTTGGATCGAACTTGGGTCCTTGCACTTTCGAGGCAGGCGACAGAACCACTGAGCTAAATCCCCGGGCCCAAGAGTGATATTTTTAAACTTGGCAATCTTGCTAAAATTATTGTTTTTTATTAGGGGGTGGGTAGGGATGTAAGAGCAAGAATGCTGTTAAATCCTGTATACAGGAGCTTGGCCTCAATCTTGAGGCCATAAAAAGATCCAGAGGAGGGGCCGGGGATTTAGCTCAGTGGTTCCAGCGCCTGCCTCGAAAGCCCAAAGTCCCAAGTTTGACCCCTGGTACAAAAAAAAAAAAGATCCAGAGGAAGTGAGATTAATAGATTCCTGTCTTTAAAAGGTCTCTGGATGTTGTGTGGACAACTGAGTGGGAAAGGAGGGACTGGCAGGGGAGCCAGTTAGGTATGGTAAGCAGGATGATGGTTTCCCAAGGATGTCCAAGTCCTAAACTCCATATGGTACAAGTAAATGGGACTTTGCAGAGTTATTAAAGACTTTCATATGGGAAGATTATCCGGGACCAGCATAATCTCATGCATTCTTAAAAAGGAAGAACCTTTCCCAGCCAGCAGAGAGGCAGAAGTGACAATGGAAATATGCTAGAGAGATAGAATTATGCTGGCTTTGAAGAAAGAGGAAGGGACACATGCCAAAAAATGCAGGAAATGGACTCTCCTCCAGGGCCTCCACAGGAAGGAGTCACAGCTCCACCTCACTGGAGCCTAGGGAGACCTGGCAGGCTTCTGACCTGCACAGTTGTAAGGTAAGATGCTTGTGTTGTTTTTCTGCCACCAAGATCATGATAACTCATTACCATGACAATAAAAAACCAATCCAAACCAGATGTGGTGGCACACACCTGTAATCCCAGCACTCTAGGAGGCTGAATCAGGAGAACTGCAAGTTGGAGCTTAGCCTGGGCAACTTAGCAATTTAATGAGATGCTCCAAAATTAAAAACATTTTAAGGGCTGGAGATGCACCCAGTTCCAAGGCCACTGTGCAAACAAAATGAGACTGACCCCATGGGGGAAGGAGCTCATTTCAGAGAGGGGCAGCACAGCAGGAAGAGATCAGGTGTGAAAGATCATGAAGGGATAGAGGTAAAGAGACACAGTCACCAACCCTGTGTGTGTGGAGTTGGCTGGTGAGGGAGAGGAAATTCTCAGAATTCTCTCTTGGGCAAATGGGGCTATGACTCAAAAAGACTGCTAGGAAAAAAAAATCAGCAGAGTGTGAGTGGCAACACGTAAGAATGCATGTGAGAGCGCATGACTGTGACACTGAGTGTGAGGGTGTTGTGATACTGCATGTATGACTGCATGTCACAATGAGTGTGAGCACAGAGAAAATACCCCTGCTACTTCTCTGCTCGTTCCTTCCAATTCCATTTTTACCCAGAAACGTGCTAATCTCATCTCTGCAGCCTCCCCCAGGAGAGTGAGCAAGTTGCTCTCCAGCCAACACTAACAGCTGCCCTGCTTGTCAGTTACAGGCCCTGCTCTCTCAATTAACCAATTGCCACCCAGTCACAGACCAGGCTCCTGTGAGTTTGGTCAGCACAAATAATTCACCACAGTGGCCTCTCCCTGCTGAGCTAAGAGAATCTCCAGCCCCTGCAAAGTGGAGGATCGGCCCTTGCACCCTGGTGATCCCAATCTGGCCTCCTCTCTGGCACAGGAGCCCTGTGCTGGAAGTGGGGAGGGGCCCGGAGAGGGAGGGAGGGCTGGAAGAGATGGCCTAAGGCCTTACCCAGAGCCAAGTCAATTGAGAAGTAGGAGGTTCTGTGTTGCAACTTCCCAGCTATTTATAGTGTGCACACTGAGACTCTCACACACTGGGCAGGATCTCCAGGGGAGAAATTACCCCTTCTGGGGAGCACCAAAGTGCAAGCTGAATCAAGTACTTCTGGGAAGCTTGGGAGGTGTCTGGTGCCACCATAAAGGCTGCTTGGGAAGTCTAAGACAATGATTTTCAAAGCCCACTCAATGTGTGTGTGTGTGTGTGTGTGTGTGTGTGTGTGCGTGTGTGTGTGTGTTACTGGGGATTGAACACAGGGCCTTTGCACTGAGCTACATCTTCAACCCTTTTTATTTTTTATTTTGAGACAGGGTCTCAAAAATCATTAAGCTTTCCAGGCTGGGTCTGAACTTAGGATCCTCTTGCCTCAGCTTCCTGAATACTGGGATGACAGGCATGAAGCACCATGCCCAGCTTGAATTATTTCTTTACCTACATTATACTCGCTGGTGACATCTTCTGCGTGAAAGAGACAGAGGGATTGTTGTTTCCAACCCTACTGTTCAGATAAGAACACTGAGGCTCTTGGAGGTTGAAATGTCAGAGCCTTGGCCTGACCTCAGTCTCTTTATGCCAAAATCCATACCCTTTGCCCCTTCTCCTGGTTGTTGTCCTACAAGGGGAATGGCACCCTTCTCTCATCCCTCACTGCAGCACGGCTTTCTCAACCAGAAGTGGCCTACGGACCTCCTGCTGAAAGGGGCCACAACACCCAAGTATGGTGCCTGAGGCATGCCATCACCAAAGTAATTAACGTAATTCTCTAACCAGGCCCCTTCCCTGAGCACAGGGAAGAGAATGGAGAACAGCTTCTGTCCTCAAAAAGCTTCAACAGCAACAGGGCTGGAACCATGGGGTATTGGAATCACAGACTAAAGTAGGGTCAGAGGTGTAGAATCAGGACAAAACCTAGGTCTGCTGGACTCTAGGACCTGTGCACCCACCCTCGAGGCCAGACTGTTCCCAGTGACAATGCTTTTGGCTCTGTAGAGTGTTCTACACACAAGGAAAACTGAGGCTGAGGGAGGCAAAGTCACACAAGGCACATGGCAGAGCAGGGACCCAATTCCAGGTGCCATTTCCTCTTGCTGCACCCCTCAGCGCTTTCCTCACTTCAGTATTCAAGGTCTAGACAGGGGACAGGTGTAGACAGGATAGGACTCCTCAGAAGCCTCATGAGACGTGTGATGAAGGGACTCAGTGTCCTCACCAAGGAAGGCACCCACCTTCTGCAACGTCACAGCTAGTGGCAGCCTCCTTACCCATCAGTCACCCCCTTCAAGATAAACAGCTCTACTTACATATTCTTTAATGTCCTTTGACTTCACAGCCTTGTAAGAATAATATGCAGGGTAAAGGGTGCCAAATATAAGCCTAGAGGGAGAGAGAGGAAAAAGGAGAAATGTAATTTCCGTTCATCCTGTTTGATGGAAAATGTCTGTCTTTGATGCCAGGAGCAGTGCTCCAAGCCACAGAAAACACTGCCATGGGACTAATTCATCTTTATGAATGCTCTTAAGTTTTCCTGCTCATGGCTGGGTTGTCCTTGGCAATCCCCATTTCCCAATACAGCCCACTTCCTTCAAACAGTGTTTGGCGTCATGGAGACCAAAACTGAGGTGAGAGGGGCAGCCCAGCTCAGCTGAGCAGCTGAAATCCCTGAAGTCAAAGACTGACTTTCCCTCCTGCTGCTGATCCTCCACAAAGCCTGCCCACTCGGACTCCACCTCAGCATCCTGCAGGCAGAACAAGCCTTTCAAACTGTAAATCTGGGCAAGTCAACACCCTCTCGACCAACACATCCCCACCCTGCACTAAGCTGCTTCTCACTGCTCTTAAAATGCAGAAACAAGGTTATCAGTTCTCAGTAATCTTCCCCAGGGCTTCACAGGGTCACCAAACACCTGGACCCTCAGCCCTGCCCCTAAGGACTTGTATGACATAGCTCTGCCTGCTCTCTTTCTCTCTACTTCATCTTTGGCCATCCTGTCCTCTCCTTCTGGAATCTCCTCTCCCCGTTCTTTCCTTAGCACTTGTTCAGCCATCAGCTCCCACCTCAGCATAACTTCTTCACTTTAGAAGCCTTCTCTGACCTCCCAGCCTAGGTCAAACTTCCCCACTACACTTTCAAAGTACAGTGTACATCTTATCGGGTGTTCTTATAGCAGACTGTAAGTGCACAGAAAGGTCCACTTTGCTTAATTTGTCTTCCGAGCATCCACCATGTAGTAGACCATCAGCAGATATATTTAAATGAATGAATGGACAGAATGTTGTGCCCAGAAGGGCTTTATCTTTTTGCCAACTGATGAGATCACAGTTGCCAACTCAGGTGCAAGCCGGCCTGGCCCAGGCCCCATAGGAACCTGCATCTCCTGGGACAACCCCACAGAGTGCCTCTGCGGTCCCTGCAAGGAGTCTGCCTGCTTAGAAAAAGACACCACACCAAGGAGGTTTAAAGTCAAGGCTATTACATTTAGAAGTCAAACAGAGAACTCTCCACACACATGCAATTTTACCAAGAACTGGGGACACCTTTACCATGAGCACTGTTGCCGGGAGCACCAGGTTTGCATTGCTGGGACAAAACACCTGACACCCACCACTTAAAAGAGGAACGTTTTATTTTGGTTCATGGTTTCAGAGGTTTCAGTCCATGGTCAGCTGGCTCCAAGGCAGAAACATCATGGTGGAAGGGAACAGTAGAGCAAAGCTGTTTACTTCATGGCAGCCAGGAAGCGGAGAGATGGAAAAAGCCAGAGAGAAAGGAACCAGGGACCAGATACAGTCCCCAAAATCATGCTCTCTTGACCCACCGAAACACACCCAGAAGTGTGCTCTTCTAATCTCCTATGTCTCTCTTAAGCCAATCAAGTTGACAGTCAAGATTAACCAAGAAAACAAAGTTAATTGAACCAAGTCAGTTTTTGACATGGAAGGAGAAAGGAGTGTGCAAACTCCTAGCTCACACAAACCTGATCTAAGCGCCTTACAGGCCTTACCCCAATTAGATTGCCTTTGCTGATGGAATCTCTTTTACAGACGGGACCACAGTGCTCAGAGCCACCTGCTTGTCTAACTCATGACCATGAAGGACTAAAGCAGGGGCCAAGTCAGCCTTCTTCAAGCCTGGCTTGCTGTCATCATTATCCACCATTATCCACCATCATTGCTTTGGAGAGCAAGGTCATTTGCTAGGAAGGTAGAGGTGATCAAGATAAGCCAGCAAAGGGGACAAGGCCAGGCTGGAAGGAAAGGAATAAAGAAGGATGAGGGTGGGAGGAAGGAAATTTAAGAAAGAAAGGTAGACAGCAGTGCCAAAGGCAGCAGGCAGGCCAGGGGTGCATGGCCTAAGGATGTTCCTCACTGGCACTCTGGTGAGGGAGATCTCTCAGCTACTCCAGCCTGCCTCTCGGGCAGCCCCACTCCTGAGCATCCTCAGAAATCAGGGAGACTTCCTTCCTGGTTAAGGCCACTCCTGACCTTGCCCTCCCTCAGACTAGACTCTTCTCCCTGTTCTATGCTGACACAGCTCCCTGCACTTTCTTTTTGGATGGTCTGCTCCATGTCTACCTCTCCCAAACACGGCCAGTTCCACAAAGTCAGGGCTGACGTCTATCTCATTCAGAGGGAGCTGCATGTTCACTACATAAAGTTTCAAAATATGGAGACACTAAGTCAGGGCCATCCAGGGGACACTGGTGACTTTGGGACTGAGGTCTCAGATGCTAGGTGGATGTCAGACAGCACCAGGCTGAATCAGCAAAGCCTAGAAACAAAGCCACCAACTCCAGGGAAATAGCATGTCTCTCTGGGCCGGGGATTTAGCTCAGTGGTTTTGTTGCCTGCTGCGCAAGCTCAAAGATCCGAGTTTGATCCCTGGTACCAAAAAAACAAAACAAAACAAAAAAACCCGTGTCGCTCCTTGGGCACAGATGCTATTATCTGTGCACAGATGCTATTATCTGTGTCTGCAGGCTGGTTATCAGCCCCAACTTGGAGGCAGCATGTGAGCAGCAGAAGAGGAACCCACAGCCAGCTGATTGGTCCTCTGTGAACTCCAATAGGCTATGACTCTGTTGAGGTCACAGAACTGGAGAGCTTCCAGGTGTTCTGACACAGAAGCCTGGGCTCAACCTGCCAAACTTTTCGGAAGCGAACTGGTTACTAGCGTCCCCCTGCCTGTGGCCTTTTTAAAAACATGGAGTTGGCTGGTCAGCACACACCTGCAATCCACCATTCTGGAAGGCTGGGGCTGAAGGATCACAAGTTCAAGCCCAGCCTGGGCAACTCAGTGACTTAGTGAGACTCGCTCAAAATAAGAAAATAAAAATATAAAAAGATCTGGAGATGTAGCCCAGTGCGAAGGCCCTCAGTTCAGTCCCCAGTACAACAAAACAAAAACCAAACCAAACAAAACAGGCTCCTACTATACACAAATCTGCACTTCAGTCTCTCATAAGAGTGGAGTCTCTAATAAGCTGAGTAATACTTAGCATTTCACTTCCCTGGATTAAAGGATTAAAATGGCTAGTTTTTATTAATACACTTTGGAGAAAGGAAATAATGAATGAAGCGGGCCCCAGCCAGAGGGGCTTGGTCCTTAGGCCAGCTCACACCAAGTGCCTCTCTTGAGGCCCTTCTCCACGTACCCCACCTGCCTGCCCTCCCCGCCTCACGGCCGCCCTTCTCCTAACACCAGATCACAGGGCCAGCACCTGCCCACGTAAGCCAGCTTGCTAGTGATCTATGACTTCCTGGCAGCTCTTTCTGCTGCTGGAATCTTAGTGCGCGATCTGCCTCCCAGCCTGCAGCCTTTTTGTTTTCCTCAGTAAAGCCTCATTATTCCTTTAAGACCCATATTTTTTGTTTGTTTGTTTTTGGTACGGGGATTGAACTTGGGACCTTGCACTTGCGAGGCAGGCAGTGGAACCACTGAGCTAAATCCCCAGACCTTTAAGACCCATTTTTTTAAAAAAACACTTCATTCAAGTCTCTGATCATTTCTTCCTGAGAAGTCTCTGGCTATTCTTTAGGTCTGTGGTAGCCCTTACGCAGGAGCAGCAGTGATGCCAGGCCCAGTGGCGCATGCCTGCAATCCCAGCTCTCAGGAGGCTGAGGCGGGATGATCACTACAAGTTTGAGGCCAGCCTCTCTACATAATGAGCTCAAGGCCAGCCTGAAATACATAGTGAGACTCTGTCTTAGGAAACAAAAAAGGAGTAGTAATAATAAAACCTTTTAGACACACTATTATTAGTGAATCCTCACTAGTGCCAGGCACTGTTTTGCAGGCTGGCCACACTTTGCACTAATCCTCTTCCATCATCTGTGATAAAAATTCTTACTATTCCGTTTCATAGACTGGGACATCAAGGCTTAGTGGCATTACTCACTTAAGTAAGGGGACACCACAGTTGGGAGCAGAGCTGAGTATGGACCGACCCGGCTGCCTGGTGACACAACCTGCTTTCTTTGCCCTCCAAGGGCTGCCTGCGCTGCCTGATGCTGTCCCCGGCTTCAGGACCACACAGTCCTGGTGATGAGTGGGGCGCCTGTGCCCAGGACAGCTCCTGCCCAAACAGGTGCTTGATAAATGTCTATTCAGTAAATAAATGATCAAACCATCCCCATTTCTTTCCTGAGAGCTTAACCACTTGTTGGACTCACATAACTCTCTCCAGAGCCCTGGAGGAAAGTGGCAGTTTATTTAGAGAGCCAGAAAGGTCCCTGAATGCTGCAGGGCAGCTGGAGCAGAGATGGAAGGCTGAGTGCATTCACTGGGCTCTGAGCTCACTCGCTCCACCCCATCACCTGTGGAAGAAGCCTCCCAGGCCCCAGCACAGCCTCAGTGCTCTTCACCCAGACTCCCTCCCCTCCCTGTTATCTGTTCCCTGGAACCCCCACCCCCAGCTCCATTTATCTGCCTGCCTTGTGCCTCCTGTCTTTGGCCTTCGCTCTTCTTGATCCAAGTTAGGGGTCTTCATCCCGCCTCCTCACCCCAATCTTTTTCCCCTGCTGCAGCACCCAGAAGGGATCAGCAGGCTCACAGGAATACCACACTCCAACTCAGTGGTTCCCAACCTGGGCGGCTTACTTTCCCAGGGACATGGGGGCAATGTCTGGAGACACTTTGGCTGTCACAACGGAGAGGGTGCTGCTGAGTTGCCCAGGCTGGGCTCTAACTTTCAATCCTTCTGCCTCAGCCTCCTAGAGTCCTGGGATTACAAGTGTGTGCCACCCCACCTTGACTGCCATTGTTCTAAACATGGAAAAGTCTTTCAAACATGACAGATCTATTTGAAGTCCCTGGTAGACCCCTTTCCTCTTCCCCAAAAGTCACTACTATCACAAGTGGTATTTATCATTCTTACCATGTTTTATTAAATACATGAGCTATGCATAAAGAGAAAAAAAGCACTGTTTTACCCATTTAAGCACTGTATAAATGGAACCACACTAGACGTGTTGCTGAAATTTGATTCACATTGATATTTGCCCTGCGAGATCATTCTTAATCACTCTGCTCCATTTCACTACATGAATACATCATAGTTTATTTATCTACTCTGTTGAAGCATGTTTATTTCCAATTTTTCCCTATTACAAACAGGACTGTGACTCTCTTCTACATGTCGCCTTGTGCACATCTGAGGTCTTATTTATTTGTTATTTACTTATTTTGTTTTTTTGAGGCAGGATCTTGCTGTGTAGTTCAGGCTGTCCTTGAACTCACTATGTAGCATTGTCTGGCCTTGAACTTGAGGTGATCCTCTTGCCTCAGCCTCCTCAAAGCTGGGATTACAGGTATGTACCACCACACCCAGGCCCTTGAGGCCTTCTTTAGAGCACAGACATAGTGTGGAATTGCTAGGTCAAAACGTACATCATCTTCCACCCTGTCATGCAAAACTACTTGGTAGGGTTGCACCAATTTATACTTTTTCCTGCAAGCGTAAAAGAGTTCTAATGGTCCCTGTTTTTCCAAATTAATATAGTTAGAGATTTTAAGTTTTTGTCAGTCTGATGGGTGTGAAAATAGTGTCTCATATTTGAATGTCCTCAGTTACAACAGAAGTCTAAAAACTTTTTATGGCTATTGGACATTTGAACTGCTTGTGTTGCTCCATTAAATTACCATCTTCTTAGTGACTTTCAGGAATTCTTTGTGATTTCTGGGTATAAATCCTTTCTTGGCCATATGCATTACAAATATCTTTCCCTATCATAAATTTTTTTAAGTTGGTCTGCAGTGTCTTTTGTTGTACAGAATTTTAAAATTTTATACCAACAAATGTAATGATCTTTTATAGTTTGTTTTACATATTGTGTTGAGGTGGTATAGTAATATATATTTTCTTGCAAAAGTTTTAAACTTTTGAGCCAGGTGCAGGGACTATGCCTATAATCCCCGCACTCTGGGAGGCTGAGACAGGAGCACTCCAAGTTTGAGCTTAAGCTGGGTAATTTAGTGAGGTCTGTCTCAAAATAAAATTTAAAAAGGCTGGGGATGTAGCTCAGTGCAAAGGCCCTAAGTTCATTTCCCAGGACCACCAAGAAAAATAAAAAGGTTTTGACATTTGCTTTTTCCCAAGTAGATCTTAATTCATCTGGATTTTATCTTTATGTATGATGTAAATTAGGAATCCATTTTATTCTTTTCTATATGCATCCCAATTGTCCTAGGCACATTTAGTGAATCTTCCCTATTGGTATACAGTATGATCCCTTCATATGTAGTTTTTTTGACATGTACAGGTATTATTTTCAACTCTAATATACTTTGCTGATCTACTAACTGCATGTGTATCATAGTGTCTTCATAATAACCAAGATATTGATGATCATAGGTTTACAATAAATCCTAACATTCCTAAAATTCTCTTGGGTATTCTGAGCCCTTTGTTTTCTTATACGATTTGCAGTGATAACTCATCAAATCTGTGAAAAACCTTATTCAGATTTTGATATGAAAATCAGGTTTTCTCTTCATGAACATTGTCTCTTCCAATTCTTCACGCTGCCTCTTCCTCTTCCACCCATTTCCACTTCTCCTCTTTTTTTTTTTCTTTTGAAACACTTGGATCTTCATGTCTTCTCTAATGTTTTTTCATATGTTGTAAATTCTTCCATAACTATCTTGTACATACTGTCTTATTTATTCCTAGTGATTTCATTTTTTTT